ACCCCAAAACCCCAAAACCCCAAAACCCCAAAACCCCATGAGATAAGTATCAATACAATTAAGTTAGAAATTTATCTTAAATTTAACAAAATGGATAAAAGGGAAAGTAATTATATAGCTGATGACTTAATAAATCAATCTTTTCTGAAACTTTATTCTAATACTAAATGGTATAATTTAGTGTTAATTAAAGCTTTAATCTGAAGGAAGCTCACCTTAAAGTGCAAAGGATATCCTCAAATTTTTTGGAATCCTAATTCTTACTAAATAGCATCTTAAGAACTTTAATTTTGTATATATTTCTCAGTCCATTGAATCTCATGAGTACTACTTGATTTAGGGAGCAATCTCATCATTAGGAAACTTTATTTGACTCCAACTTTATAAAATGGGAATATTTCAAAGGTTGATTTAACAAGACTATTGCCTTCATTTTTAAAGCAAAAATGAAGAACGTAGCATAGAGCGAGTCCTGCGAAAGTTGCAAGAACAATACCAACAATTTTCTCAGAATAAACGCCATCCTACGAGGAATAGTTTGACTGATCTACTAGTACTGTTGTTTATTTACCACTTATAGCCTCAAACTTTTGTCTTTTAAGTCTTTCATCTTCATTTTTTATAGGGGGTTGTTTAGGACGTGGCTTCATTGGCTTTGGTTTTATTTTAATCAATGACAAAGTCGAGAGATTATCATGGTCATGAATGTTAGCTTCTTCAATTGTTGTATTTTCTGAAGATGTGCCAACTGATTCTAAATCATAGGAATTCTCAATTTCTTCAATTGTTGAATTCAATTAAGCTTAGTTTTATGAAATTGTAGATTCTGTTTAATTGGTCTCAATATCGTTTTCGCTGGAAATGTAAAATTAAGATTATGTGCTCTCAAAAATAGGCTGTTAAGCATAGTAACTAGAAGAATATTTGGCATTAGAGAGTTTTTTGTAAATTTTTGAAGAATTATTTCTGAAAGCAGACGATGATTTTGAGTCACCTTTGTAAATTAATTTAAGTGATAGGATTTCTTAATCATTAGATCCTTCAAGCACTTATTAGAATTGCTTATGATCAGTTGATTCTTCACTTTCATTTTCATTTTCAATGTTATGAGAAGTTTGCTAGTTTTATGCAACCTCTTATTTTGCAGGACTGTCGACTTTATTTTCGAATACTTCGCTCATAGATAAAGGCATTTCGAAGTTTTGTGCAGAAATGTACCCAAACAAAAGAAGTACAGCTATAGATATGCTATATCTTAATTTCTTCATATTTTTAAATGATTAAAGTGTTATTTTTGATCAATTTTTTAACTCTTATTATCAAAGATCTATTTAATATTGATTTAAATTATTTATCAAAATCTCAAAATCTAAACTATATTCACTTATGGGGTTTTGGGGTTTTGGGGTTTTGGGG